AACGCCAAATTAAATACCGTGTTGACTGCACTAAATTGATAGCTGAAATCTGTTTAGTGTATTTGAGTAGGCTAAAACTTCCCTCACAACAGTTCATAATCTTAACGATGATTTATTGTGATACCACATTGCAAAGCAAACTACACCATATTTGTATTGTAAATCAAAACAGATTATTATCATGAAAATGTTCATAATAATGCAATGTGGGACAAAATAATAATGTGGAGACATGACTTATATAGCGTGGAGTCTACAAAAACAGCGAGCAACTATCAATCGCGGGAACCCACACTTCTGTGTTTCGTGAAGCATGTTCCCTGGGCAACCCCCTTGTGATTCATTGAATTTCCTATAGATTGCCGCTGTCATATAGCACGTCAAACGCCTAAAGGCGCCTGATGGAGACAGTTTGATATCGGAAACATCACACGTTTGTTTCCTAGCTAAACAGAACCCGTAGTACCCGTTTATTGCACCTCGCTTGGGAAAACAAACAAATCACGGATTAGTTTGTTACCAATTTCTTTTTTATGATTTATTTGACATACGACATAACTATTTCTACTTCTGTGGAGCCGTCATGACATCCGGCTGTCTGTAAAGGATCGAGTATATGCCGCGGCAGTTCGGCCAGTTCTGCTATACGGTGCAGAAACTTGGCCATTAGGAAAACAGGAGAAAAATAGATTGTCGATATTTGAACATCGCTGTCTACGCGGCATTGAACGAATCTGGTGGGGTAACCCTATAATCAATGCTGAGGTTAGGTGTAGAGTTTTAGGTAACCGCGGTCGCCCACTGGAGCAAATGGTCGACCTCCACAGATTAAGCCGGTTGGGGCACGTGTTACGCATGTCACCAGATAGGTTGCCACGGCGAGCGATGGTTGCCGAGGCAGTGGGTGGAAAATAGCCAAGGGTGGTCAAGTTAAGACCTGGTATGAGGGTATGAAAACCCTAACCAGGAGACCGGGTCACATTGGTCCTGTTAGGCTCGCTGGTTGGGGACCTCGGGATGATCGTAACCAGTGACTAGTGACACTGAGTGATATGGCTGAGTGTCGTAAACAGTGGCGTTCGTGCATCTTCAGAATTTCTTTGCAACATTAGTCCAATGAACTTCTCCCTTCCCTATTCAACTCTATTTTCCACTTTATTGTCCTTCTCCTGCTGTTCATCCAAATAGGCGACCAAAAGACAGCAACCAAAGCCGGTGCACGAATATGCATGGTTAATAGTTGTTCGAAGTAAACTGATACCATGTTACCTCTCCCTAAAGGCTGATAATAGTTGAGAAAATCTGTGGAAGTAGATGGTTTAGGTACAAAGTGTAAAGGGAAAAATATATTGAATGCAGGCTTGAGAAACCGGTTATCAGGAAGTGTGAGCAAGTATTGTTATATTACTATTATTGTTATAATATATACTCTGTAGATTTTTACACACGTTAGTGTGATGAACGGCAGACGGGGAAAACCCCACAGTCAGGAGGACCTGCTGTTCAGTGATAGAAACCGGATACCCTAGCCCCAGGACTTGGAGTGGCGAATCACATCAGGCTACGCTAGATTACGCCTGGTATTGAACCGGATGGCAGCAAAACTGTCCATCACCAAAATGCCAAAGTTACCAGTCCTTGGGTCATATATTATGGTAAATAAGGAGTGAAATTCTGAGGCGTGGTAACTACTTATCCCGCAGCACTCGACGGCTCTGCTGCTAGGACAGCAACATGAGGATAATAATCAGTACAGCCAAGGTCAATACTGTAAGCCTATGGTTGGTACAAATAGACCCATAATTAAATATTTTGGTAGCAATAGCCGTAGACACCTGCAGCAAGAGATAATCCTGGGGTTTAGATATCCCAAAACAAAGGATAAGCATGCGGAGGTTAATGACGATTAACATTTTTAATATCGGGACTAAATAGAGTGAAAAGTAGTATGTCATTTTTATTCGTACCTTTTTTTATTTGCAGAGTAAACCAAAAGACAAAAAATAACTGTTCGCAATAGTCTGATAGCCTAGCTAGACAGGGAACTCTAAAATAGATCTTTCCTATCGACCAAGGACTCCTCCGCCACAAAATTGTGAAACCTCCGTGTTCATTCTAGTGGAAGTTACGCTTGGAAGATCCTTGTTGGTCCCTCATATATTTGCTCTGAATTACCTGTCTCTCATTCCTATCCTTCAATTAGGTCGTTTTCGGTTCGTTCTTGTTAGAATCAGCGAGAATTAAAGCACCCCTGGTCCGTAAATGGTCTGTGCACTCATCAGCAAAGTGGCTTCTTAACTCCAAATAAACTCGGAGTGAAGGAACTTTTTTCTGCTTTCATTATGTATTTTCCGTTTTTCATATCTTCCTCATCGATGGCATTAAACCTTTTTGCTGAATTATAAGCATGTAAGCTTAACACACCTGTCGTAATAAAATTATTTTATTACAAAACCATATTATATGAAAAGTGAAAGTGAGATAAAAACTGTTCCGCTCTGTGCAGACCTGAGTGAATCATGTCTCTGGAAAGATAGGTCTCCAACCCAAATAAATCTTAGACTTCAGAAGGAATGAAATGGAAACACTTGTTCAAGCGAAAGTCTATGAAGGGTATCTTTAACGTTTGTTTCATCCGAACAAATGGAGGACTCATGAAATGACAGACATCTAAGAATTAAGTAACCTCATGTTTTTATTAAACATCATTGTGTGTTGAGTGACTGAAGGGGGGACGAGTGGATAGTGGAATGGACGTGGTATGGATCCGGACAGCGAAGCTGCCTAGCATCAAAACTGAGCGGTGATTGCAAGGACCGATTTCGGAACTTACGGCAAAAAAGCACGCCCGTGAAAGCGACCTAAACCACTTGATAAACACCACATACGTAACTGATAGAATCGTTAATTCCGTGATTCACTTCTACTGCAGTCGCCATGAAGTATATATTCAGTCTAAGAAGAGATCCAACCCCAATACTCTTGTGAAACTCTAATTTAGTCTAACAATAACAACTTGTTACGAATTGTGGTGTTTCCGTGTAGTTGTGGTACTTATATCCACACAGATCCCGTTAGGCTCCCTGGTTGGGGACCCCGAGGCCATGGTCACCGAAGGTTAGAGACGCTGAGCGACATGGCTAGGTGTCGCAAACAGTGGCACTCATGCATCTACGCATTATTCTTGCAACCTAAGCCTATATGAATTCTCTATCTTCCCCTTGAATGTGCTGTTAACATTCCTATCTCCATTCTGCTCTTCTATTCAAACGGGCAGCCAAAAGACAGCAACCAAAACCGAACCACGAAAGTGCATGGTTAATGATTGTAAAAACTGAAACTGAACTACCTGTGTGGCTTTAACATCTGTGAAAAGTGACAATAAGGTAAACATGAGCAATCACTAATAAGTAATTGTAATGGTTAGTTGATTTACTATCAAAGCACAGTTAGTTTCACCTATTGAACTCAGTTCTTTAACGTAATTGTATCCAACATATTTTGATCACAAGATTGTTACCGCAGATAGTAAACCATTCAAAATAGGTCAAAAAACGTTTACGATGGACATTATTTTCAGTAAATCTTCAAAAATTGCCCCTCGCAATCAGTTGATTTTGCTCAAAGGTGAAACCAAAACTGAGAAATCCCTTACAGAGGATGGACAATGTAAACCGCAGTGGATGCGATACTGAACGAAAGACGGACAGGAAGAAGATATGAAACGTCAACAACCAGATTTGGGAGGTGCTGAAGACATGATTGCTATTTGGGGAGGTGAAGCAAAGTTCAATAGTCCAAAATCACAATTCGCTCAAACAACAACGAACATAACCGACGAACCACTATTACTAGGCGATAACGGCTGACTGACCTGACTGTATTTGGTGGGATCAAGTCAAAAAGTCAAAGCCAAAAATCGCTCTATTCATCCTAATGGATGGATTCTCAGCTTCAAACCGGATCCAATTACTTTCTTTTAAGTGGCGTTTTTCTTCAGCTCAGTATTAAGTTCTGTATTACTCACAAATAGATCGCAGTGCTCGCTGTATAAGATATAGAAACTAAGCACCATCTCTATAACTAATAAACAGGAAAGCTGTACGAATGATTTTGTTCACAAAATACAGATAATTAGTAGCCACAGACAGCTCGGATATTTCAAGACGATTCGCAAAGAGAAAATGAGGGAGACAAAGGGTAGCAAGACTAATACGACAATCCAAACACGATAAAAGTTAAATTTGCGTCCGAATGTTGGAGTTTAAACCATGAACAACAAACAGCCATGACCTTTGATTTCCCAGTTTAGGTTTTTTGGGGGCATCCAAATAAAACAATTTGGCACTCAAAGAGAGACCAAACAGTCTCCTAATCTGAATTACGTTCAACATCTAAAACCCGGCTTCCGTCGAACCAATCGAGAATCAACCCCGGACACCATGCTTACGATCGACTGAATCGCTTGAAGAAAACTAGTTCCATCCATTACTTAAAATCAGGTGAGGTCGCACATCCCCTACTCGGTTAACAAATCAGCATTAAAGAGCATCATAGAGAGAACATTCTCCACCGATTCCATTAGACCGTTTGAATTCATAAATATTTCGGTACGACCTGCAAACCGCTATCTTCACGAGCCGCAAACACTTCTCCGCAGGAGACAACTGGACCTTCAAATAATAGCAGTCCGAAATGAAACAAAAACGGTGGTATAGATAACACATTTGGGTGAACATATTCCCCTTCGGAATAAACTACCGCCAATGTACCCGGAAACTGCCAGATAAGACTTTACTCTAATGTACACAAGGCGATGATAACATCAGAATTACCAGCATAGCATAAAAAGGTGATCAGAATTGAACGCAAGCGTGTGAGTGAAAAGTCGGATCATTAGAAAGCAATACTGATATTTATCATATGTACAACTAGATCGCAAGGACTGTATATATCTTCCACGGATTCACACAAGGAGAGGGAGAAACCGAAGTCGCAGTCTAGTAAGTACGATAGTTCGCGTATGCACGGTTTTCTTCACACTTTTTGAGTAATTCTTGTTTCTTCCGGAAAGCCTTTCCCTGATTTTGTGAAGCAGCAATCAGCTCCCGAGCCAAAGAGACCCAGATCCGACTATCCGCTGGTTTATCACGGGCTGCCTCAATCAAAAACTTGATGGCAGTGTGTATGGCAACTGAATCTGTGCTTGGAGGAGCAGGAACCTGTTAAGCAAAGGGTTGCAGACAGTCGGGGCTCAGTAAACATGTGACTACCATGATTGGGATACGCCAATGAAGAAAACATCAAAAAACTAATAGACGCATCATTATGGAATGAATAAACTCTAAAAAAGTTGGGCATATGGCCGATACCAAAGTTCAGATTTGTTTGAAAAGTCTTAGTAGGGATCTGTTGAAACAGGCAATGCAAATAGAAATCTTTAGAGCGCATCATCAAATGAGACAACTAACAACAACCTGATGATTAAATTACACTGTTGCCAAAGGCAAGTTAGGTAGTAAATGAAAAGCAATTTCACAGTTAAGGTGTAGATCACAAGTAAGGGAATTGATAAGTTTCGAACCGTCAGACAAACTGAACAAACTTCCATCAAACGAACTGTTTAGAAAACGGTGTCATGCAATTAGTTAACAGTTTCGGGGGAAAATATCCATGGAAGCTTAAATTATTGGCTATATTTTTAAACTGACTTATTCCTCTTAATGCTGGTGCTATTGATGCTGTATTATATTTGTTATTAAAACTCAGCTCGATTTCATTTTTGTTTGGAGTTAGCTTTAGTGATGTGAATCCTATACCATCAGAAAATCAAACGTATACGTTGTAGCACTGCCAACTTTTATCGAGTCGATTATGTTGAATAATATACTTCCAGTTTGTCTCATAATATCACTTATCCAACTCAGTTTCAGTTTGCAGTTTTTACAGCCATTAACCATGTACTTTCGTGCGCCGGTTTTCGTTGCTGTCTTTGGTTGCCCATTTGGATAAAAAAGCGAAATGAAG